GATACAAAAAAGATATTCCACATTCTGTGTCTGTGTGTCTGTGTGCTCGCTGGTAACGACGTGGCCAGAACAAGATTGAACACTGACTAACCAATGTTTTGTATGGAGCTATTATTGTTTCAATAATATTTGTGTGTGCGTAAAAAGATTTGTGCGTGCGTAACCAGATTTGTGTGTGCGTACCCAGATTTGTGTGTGCGTAACCAGATTTGTGCGTGCGTAACCAGATTTGTGTGTGTGTAAAAGAAATATTTGTGCGTGTGTAAATAGATTTGTATGTACGTATCAAGATTTGTGTGTGCGTAAAAAGATTTGTGTGTGCGTAAAAAGATTTGTGTGTGCGTAGAAAGATTTGTGTGTGTGTAAAGAAAAAAAAAGTACGTTTTACACACAAGTTTTTTTTTTACACACGAATCTTTTGACGCAGTCCTGCCTTCGCAGATTCGCAAGTGTAACTTGGACTGTGTGCGTGCGTAAACAGATTTGTGTGTGTGTAATTTGACATTTGTATCTGTAGCAGAACAATCTGTGTGTAAATAACCGCGTTGTACAAAGAGAAGAACGAAAAAAGCCTCAGTGCTACGCACAGGCTCTGTTTTACACACGAATCTCTTTTTGACACACCTCTGCCGCCAAACGTGTGTCAAAAAGATTTGTAAGTGTAATGTGGTTGTTCTAGCAGTACACCAGCAGATGGTGCTGTTGTAGCTGGTTATTACCTACAGGCAAGCAAACGAAAACCCACTGCCTTGACAAGACACACTACCGCAGCTGTTTATGATATTTTTTTCCTATTTTCAAAATCCTGTCATTCACACCACTGTATGATACATGGATCTATTATAATAACTGGATAGGGTGTTACTAGCTTGGAGCTGAAGGATTCTCACGTAGAGCCCTGCACTTGAGCCCTTGGCCCGAGGGCCCCGACGGCCCGACGGCCCGACAGCCCGAGGGCCGGGCTTCGGGCCGATGACCGCATAATGACCTCGGACACGGGCCGGGCTCGGGCTCTTCATTTTCAGAGCGGCAGAATACATTTACGAACGCACCCACTGAATATAGCGTTCTATCACGCTGTAGTGTTTCTTGTTCTGTGTAGTGTTGTCATTGACGGCACATAGCGTTACTTACAGGTGTGTTGCAGCATCTGGGCATCATACAGCTGTGTATCATACAGATGTTCACTCTGCACCCCTCCGCACACACAGAACTCATTGCAACACATCACTACCATGTATAACTCCGCCCTCTAGCTAAGTCTGCGTTCATATCAGTGCGCGGCACTATATACTACGCTAAAACATTGTTATGGGAGGTTACAAAAAAAAAAAAAAAGGCGGGCTTGATGCGGGTTTCGGGCCTGAAAATTGAGAAACCATATCGGGCCGGGCTGGGGCGCCACCCCCTCGGGCCAGGGCCGGGCTCGGGCCCAGATAATAGGCCCGTGCAGGGCTCTATTCTCACGTACTGCAGACTAAATTCACGTTGGCTACACAGAAATTTTCCCCATAGAACTCAAAGTAAACTAAAACAGCTGACAGATAACCTACAGCTTTCATAAAGGTCGGATTTTGTGGGAATTTTAGTGTTCCTTGTCATCCTGAACTTTTCTTCTTCTTAAATCCTTCGGTTTTCTCTATCTACACTATAGTGCCACAAACTCAGCTGGTTTGCTTGCGTGTAGGTTATAACCAGCTACAACAGCACCATCTGCTGGTGTACTGCTAGAACAACCACATTACACTTACAAATCTTTTTGACACACGCTCGGCGGCAGAGGTGTGTTAAAAAGAGATTCGTGTGTAAAACAGAGCCTGTGCGTAGCACTTAGGCTTTTTCCCGTTCTTCTCTTTGTACAACGCGGTTATTTACACACAGATTGTTCTGTTACAGATACAAATGTCAAATTACACACACACAAATCTGTTTACGCACGCACACAGTCCAAGTTACACTTGCGAATCTGCGAAGGCAGGACTGCGTCAAAAGATTCGTGTGTAAAAAAAAAACTTGTGTGTAAAACGTACTTTTTTTTTTCTTTACACACACACAAATCTTTCTACGCACACACAAATCTTTTTACGCACACACAAATCTTGATACGTACATACAAATCTATTTACACACGCACAAATATTTCTTTTACACACACACAAATCTGGTTACGCACGCACAAATCTGGTTACGCACACACAAATCTGGTTACGCACGCACAAATCTGGTTACGCACACACAAATCTTTTTACGCACACACAAATATTATTGAAACAATAATAGCTCCATAGTTTTGAAAGCTACAGGAGCAGGGGGAACTTGTTGCAGTCTGTTTGGGTCAGAAGTGGAGGAAGTTACACATTTTACTAAAATTAAAGTGCCAATACTACAAAAAATGTGTCTATCCATTAAAGAAGAAATAATACATATTATTTTGAGGCATTAAAAATTATAAGTGATTCAATGTTTTAATTTAGAATGTGAAATAGAATCTGTAGAAAGTATATGGTGTAACAAGAACATAGTGTAAATACCAAAATAGGCCTGACATATCCCTCTGCTACCACCAGAGGGTGGTGTAAATTTAAAACAAAAAATCTAATTTGAAAATGACCCGCCCAGCAGGGCAGGACCTCAGACACACAGTCTCTGGCTCTCACAAACTGAGGTCTGTCTGTGATGTAGTCCAGGATCCTCTACATCCGTCTCCGGCTTGTCCCTCAGAGGTAGTGGCTGTATGGGAGCCAGATAAATCGGTGCCGGGATACTCCAGGTGGCACAGCATGCAGTGGAGGAGGAAGATAAACACGTCCTTCTCTCTGATTCGAGGACGGTAGGTGAACTACAGTGAGACCATCCCCACTGTGGTGCGAAGATGGCCCTGGACCAGTGTCTCCCGTGTCTTCATTAGGTGGGATGTCAGAGACAGTGGCCTGAAGTCGCTGAGATCTTTGGCCACAACGTCTTTAGCATTGGTAACACACACAAGGTCTTCCAGAGCAGTGGCAACGACCTCAGCTTCAGGCTCCGATATCAAGGGCCCCTAACATCAAGGGCCCCTAACGTCAATGGCTTCTAACATCAAGGGCCCCTAACGTCAATGGCGTAGGTTTACGTTTATGTCTCCACCAACATTTTTAAATGTCAGTTTATTCATACGCCACAACTCCTCCTCGCTTCCATCTATGTTATCAATGTGGGTTGATAAAGGAAATAATAAATTACATTTAATGCATGTATCATACTGTATTCAACATGATAACATGTTGCAAACTACTGTTTACCTTCTAAAAGTGAAGTACGACTGCCATTGCTTTTTGAAAAGCGATCAGTGAAGCCATGTAGCCAGTGTCAGGAAACTTGTGATATGTTTTCTATGTGCGTCGTAAAATGTGAATACTGGTAGTTTTTCCGCCAAGTTTTCCACCAGAAAATCAGCCGAGGAATGATAAGTGCGGTTCTGTTTACACTTGGTTATGGTTCAGTGATCATAATAAAGCATCCCCAGTTTTGAGGCATGAGTTAAAATCCCGGTCAGAACGCAAAAATTAAAAAATATATGTATTGGTGTCTAGACCAAAGCTGTGATCAAACCGCGTAGGTTTGGTCACAGCTTTGCCTGACATTTACCCCTATTCTATTTTCAACAAACACTAAACATTTTCAGAGTGGCCTTTGAGGTAAAATATTATCGTACAACACACATTGGGTTTTTAAAAAGTCCTTAAGGTCTGACAACACCAATGTATAAACGCAAACACTCTGAACAAAAGCCTCAGTGTTTCACCTTGTGTTGGGTGTAAGTAAGATGGGAACTTCCTTTTCGTCTGAACCAAAGTCACAAATTAGTTTCCATAGCAACCACTGCAACATCTAGCAGCAGACATTACAGTGGGTCTTGATCCTTAGCTTCACTTCACTGCAGTATGTCACTAATATGCTGCAAAACAAAGATACTCTGACTTGCACTTTTTTGCAAGAAATAGTTGAATTTATTCCCTTAATCTCAACTGACCTTTTGTAAGACTTTTTGTGCAATAAAGTTTGTTATTACATTACAATGCAGAAGTCAGTAATTTTACATTGATGGTTTGGTTTATCTGAAGGTTTTCATAACTATCTATCTTATCTGCTCTATCTATCCTGCCATATATATGTATATATTTTTGATCCTTCGATGTCGGCTCTTTGTGAAGCAGAATTCACCAAGCGTTGGATTGTTCACCCACTAAACCGTCGTGAGACAGGTTAGTTTTACCCTACTGATGATGTGTTGTTGCAATAGTAATTCTAATATATATATATATATATATAAATAAATTATATATATTTATATATATATACATAATTTACACTACATGGTTGAACAGTTGAACATCTAAAGCAGGGATGTCAAAGTGAAGAACATCAGAGGGCCAAAAAAACAAATATGCTACAAGTCTAGGGCCGGGGTTCTGTCGAGTTGGTCTGCCCCTCAGCTGTTAATGATGTAATGCAAACCTGCGCATGCGCGTCCCACGGCAGCCAAAGCAAACCAAGATGGCGGAAAGGATTCCGTGAATAGCTTTAAAAGTTAAAATACAAACGAATTAAGACACGAATGTCACTTTTAATGCAATTTGAGGTGAGATGTTGATGGTTCCGTTTTGTGATATGTGGGTTTTAGTTTCGTGTAAAGTTTGTTTTAAGCAGTCCACTGCTTCTGTGAAACTACACTGCTACACTCCCCGAGTTGACTGCTGCATACGTCATTTCACTGACGTAGGCCCATGACGCGTCCTGTGACTGGTCTGTCGGGTTGATATTGGAAATAATTAATTTAATTTAATGCATGTATCATACTGTATTTCAATATGATTAACAATAGTGTGTTCAAACAAAATATTTAGATCGAGTTTTCCCCATTCTGGCGGGTTTCTGATGTCCTTCTCGCACTTCCAAATCATGTGCTGAAAGTCAAGTCAAGAACCTTGAAATCTCTGGACTGAAGTCATGTTTTGTACCTGGTTTAGATCCCTCGGCCACAGATCCGTTGTAGACCTGGTTCTGGAACTCGGGTCGGTTGTCATTCATGTCGATGACGTAGATGTACAGGTCTATGGGGTTCTCCACCTGGTTCCCGTTCATGTCCACTGCATGAGCGCGCAGCTGTACACAATACAAAACACAATATTACTGGCAAACTTCTGCCATTCAAAATTTTAAACACTTATCAATATAATATTTAAATAGTTGTTAATATAATATTTAAACAGTTATAAAGACAGTTAGTCTCACAGTGACTAAAACAATAATCCTGCAATGAAAACCTGGGACAGCTAGAGCCCATAGGGAGGTATTTCAAGGAAAAAACATGTTGCACCAACGTAGTTATCTTATTGGGCTGGGCAGTAAATTACATATATTCAAGGCATCAAACTGTGAAAATGTGAGAAATGTCAAAATCGTGAAACTGAGGTCAGGATAATATTTCTTCTCTCCTCTGCTTTTCGGAGGTCTGTAGTTTAGCTAAGTCACCACATTGATTAAATTTGAGAATGTTCAGCGTTTAGAGAAAGGTTAACATTAATTGAAAATTATCGTAATCGTCCAAAGGGGGCTACAAAATCCATGTTTGACTTTTTGCCCAGCCCCAGTCTGAGTGAACCACCCTCCCTCGCACTCCTTTCTTGCAAACAATAATGCTTTCCTGGCTGCGTTTTCTAAGCAGCCATTTGGATGGATGTCACTGGCTGATGAGTGGTTTCTTGACACGTCAATGTGAGAATTCAGAGAGCTAAGAAACATGGGGCTGAGCTTTGTGGAAGGAAATGAGGGCTGGAAACACAAAGAGGAACATGAGGCTCAAAGGGGAGAGATGACAGAAGTAATCATCATCTACAGTTGGACGTCTTCCTCTGCATGCATTCTGCTGTTGGTAGGCCTCTGCAACAACAGTCTCCAATGGTAACGCACAACTACGACCAGAAAAGGCACGAGAAATCACTACCGCTCAAGCTGAACATGGAGCCAGCGTGGAGTCAGACCGGAGCAGTGTCTCTTACCAGGTCCTGGGTCGTTACAATGGCTTTAAGAAAAAAACATGAATCAATCCTCTTCATCCTGAGTCCCGCGCACCACAGCCCTCCTCATTAGTAAAGTCTTCATCAAGTCTAAACATTTTTTGCATTGGGTGTTAAGGTGAATGTACCAGTCCTGGATCTATGGCCCGTCCATCCGTGTGGAGCGCATCCCTCTCTCAATGTGGTTCTCCCTGAGGTTTCTCACTTCTCTCCTACTGGGTTTCAGAGTTTTTCCTTGCCGATGCAGGAAGGTCTGTTAGACTGCTAGTGGGTTTAACAAAAAGGACTGAACCAGGACTGCGCCAGAACTGAAAGAGGGATGTTGTAGCCAATGCCATTTTAATGTATTTATTGTTGTATTTTTTGTGAGGTAAGTTTGTTTATAAATTGTGATGTGTACGTGTGTTCACCTGCCCAGGGACTAACAGAAGTAGTCGCAGCTAAATCTGGTGTAAATCATCTCCACTTTTGTAAAGACAAATTGTTTTTTTATAAGTAAAAAAACTTTAATTATATACCGCCTTTCTCAGACCGGAGTCACAAAGCGGTTTACAATTGTTTGTTTTTTGTAGTGTCCCTATAGACAAAACTAAACTAAACTAATCATTACCTTGAGACAGATACACCAGCACTCTACAGCCTTTTACCAGTGGGCACAATTAAATGAATGGATTGGATATTAACGGCTTATTAAACGAGCGCGAGGTCTACCGCGGTCTGATATTCCTCTGTACAGACCGAGCAAGCGAGGTTAATAAATGTTTTATTACATGACTATTTTTAATTTATGCAAATATCAATCTCCGACTTGGTTTTCCTAGTCGTGTTTTTAGCTTTCTGATCTGAAACAAAGTTGTCAATCTCTTCTTGACTGTTAGGAGTTGTGTTTTCGGCGTTATTTGCTGTTATTACTTCCTCTGGCTCTTCGAAGTCGTCGCTCATTCATTTTTTTGGCGCTGCGGACCAATTGTCATGGTAACGGTCCGAGATGGGAAATTATAAGACAGCAAATCAACCAATCAGAGCGTGTGTACGATCCAAGTCATATAATACATATATTTTTTGTTATGTAACATTCTATAATATTTTATTATTGTATTGTGCTATAACATTAGAGTGTACTTTATTGATGGGTTTGATAGTGTCACCTGTTATTCCTAATGTTTTAATTGTTAATTCTGCTGTATCACGATCACTATAGTGAAAACATTGCATTGTTCCATCTGATAAGAGTATGCCAAGCAGTAACCGTGTGTGTGGCAATACTGCAGCAGGAAGCTCTGATTTATCAAGTGCCAACATGAAAGACAGATCTGCAGCACCTGTTCTCCCCGAATCCTCACTCATCATGTGGGCTCTCAGTGTACATCTGTCAAGGACGCATCAAAACACAACCCAAACACGCATCGGCATTCACACCGCTCTCCCGACACCCCTCAGACGCGTGTCACTGCATAATAACAGCATTTATAACCAATCAAACGGGGTCTTTTTAGTACTTAATGATCCTCACGACGCACGTTTCCCATTGGCTGAAGCATAACAAACACACACAGAGCCGAGTCGCACAAACAAACAGGCCCAATCTGTTTCATCAGCTGTGGGTGGTGTGATGTGTGTGCAGCATGTAGTGTGGTGTGAGTGGCGTATGTGTGTGTGGGGGTTTAGTGTAGTGTGTGTGTGTGCGTGAGTGTGAGACGGCTCCTGTGACTATGGAGATGCCATAGACCACACTGTTCTGGCTTTGCTCATGCTTTAGTCAGACAGTATGTTTGCTGGTTTTCCTCTTGTATCATTTGCAAATAGAGAGAAATGAGAATCTGTTATACCAGGGGTTCCCAAAGTTTTAGCCCACGACCCCTGATGTGTACACAGACACAAGCCTCTGCCGAGGAGCAGAGGTCTTGTGGCTCGCCCTCCCTGTTCTCCGCTGCCCAAGTTTCATTTTAAAGCAGATATTAATTGTTTGTAGCCTCCAAACACCTTTAGCTTTAGCAAACAACATCAGGACACATTTTGGTGCTGCGCGTGATGTAAGCTACAAACTTGATTTTGATTGACGCTGTCATAATCTTGTGATATCTGGGACAACATTTCAAATTTAAATAATATATATTATATTTTTATCAGACTCACCTCCAAACACAATTTAAAGTAAAGGTAAAGGTGCACTTTAATAATCCCATTGGACAATTCATCCTCTGCATTTGACCCATCCTGATGCCGCTAAGACCAGGAGCAGTGGTCGCTGTAGCACAGCGCCCGGGAACCCATCTCCAGACATTGATGCTCGGCTCGGTCAGGATTACCGGAGCTGGAGGATTTTACCTAGTGTGCATGTTTTTAGTGGTAGGGGAAACCGGAGCACCTGGAGGAAACTCCATGCAAACTCCACTCAGAAAGACCATGCTCCGACCAGGACTATATATTTGCTCCACTTTATTATACTTTTTGTTCATAGCAATCATCTTGCGACCCCCACTTCGGGAACCACTGTGTTATACTATTGTCCTGGATTAGTTTTGTAAGCAAAACTAATCCATTGTTTGTTATGTTAGAATAACAGTTTTTTAAACCATAATGAGAGCATTCAATAGCTATGCAGAATCACTGAATGACTAAAACAGTAATACGCCAACACTTGGTCTGCCTCTCTGTCAATCATTCTGCTCAGTGCGCCGCACACATCTGCAGGTACAGCCGCCTGCACACGCCCAGGTGATCGCTGAGTCTTTTATGTAGACCAGTGTCTCCCAAAGTGGGGTCCGCGGCCCCCTGGTGGGCCGCGAGGGTACTGCAGGGGGGCCGCGGGAGGTCATAAAAAAATAAAAATATATATATAATTATTTAATGTTAAATTTATAATGTTTTGTTTGTAATATTAAAATATTTGTGTTCATTATTTGACTTGAATAATCCACTGTAATCATTTTTGTATTACAATGTTTGTAGCAGAGGCTATTTCCCCAAAATAAAATAACCAGAAGAGCCTATTCTTAATGTTGTCTTCTTGGTTATTATTTTGGGGGGCCACGCAGACCCGTCAGATTTTTAAGGGGGCCTCGGTGTTACTGAGTTTGGGAATGGCTGATGTAGACTATTTGCAGCTAATGCCCGTTATGTTTCATTTCTATTTTTGAATAAAACTGGAGTAGTCCCGTGGGCAAGCAGATTTTTTGCGTGCATAAAAACAAGTCGTAAATGTCTTTAGACTCTAATTTGTAGCTATCATCTCTCACACCTGTAGAGTAAGTGACACATTCTGGCCAGCTCTGGTTCTCCATCTGGTGCAGTGAGTGCTGTGATTCCGCAGGATCAGAGTATCAAGTGAAAAGAAGTTCAGGATGACAAGGGACACTAAAATCCCCACAAAATCTGATCTTTGTGAAAGCTGTAGGTTGTAGGTACAGTATATGAGAAAATGTCCAAAACAGTCGGTGAGAATTTAAGCTGCAGTACCGCAGCCGGCCACTTGTCCGTAGTGGAGACAGGGTAAACCAGACAATACAACACGTCCATGTTATCCCTCCCCTTCGCTTCAGTACATTCTTTTCATCTTTGTAATCATTCAATTTCACATATTTGATAGAAAATACATTTCTGTCACATTTTATAACTGAAATAGTTTAGTCTTATTTGCAAGAATATAACAAATATGTTTTGCCAGAGCGCAGAGAGAAATGTAATTTTAACTGTTTGAAAAATGATATCTGATATCCCAATGTGCCTCCCAGAGAAGACAGAGAAAGAAATTAATAATCCTAATTTGATAATATATCTGAGCCTGAGTAGATGAATATTTTTTTTCCTCCATCAAACCACCTAAATGCGTTACACCTTCCGAACCATTTCTACGATCTGACTTTCCATGTTTGAACAGCACAAGCTATAAATCGTACATTTGTATTCATTCAACCACCTCAGGAAGGCATTGCGGAAATGCTTTTCTCTTGAAGACTGGAGTTTTTCTTAGTTGGGAAAGTAGTTTGGTGAGCCTCAGTTTGTGCTTGTGATCTGCAGAGCTCTTCATCCCCTGCACACTCCAGTGTTTGTGTGTTTGTGCACTTGATGGAGAAATTGGAAATG